GTGTGCTCTTCCGATCTCCCCAAAACCCCAAAACCCCTTGGAGTGATTACTTAAACATTCTTGAAATTGTTAATAAGATTTTAATAAAACACTATTTGTAATTTAAAAGAAAACTATTTTAATGGAACCTTCGCCATAATCTACAGTCAAAGATAACTTTGCTTCTTCTAGATTTTCTTCCTCGGGTGGTAAAGAGACTGTGCTCTATTACTCATTCAACTAAGATAATACTTGCTTAGCAGTCGGTACAAAGAGAGGTTTCAGAATTTACCAATGTCATCCATTCGATATAATTTCATGGGCAGACATTGGGCCAGTAAGCATAGTAGAGATGCAATATACTTCTAATATATTGGCCTTAGTAGGCTTGGGAGATAACCCCCAGTTCTCTTAGCGACGATTAACCATTTGGGATACAAAAATCATGGGTGCAACATGCGAGATTTCCTTTAATTCTAAGCTAGTGAAACTGAAATTAAACTAGGAGCTGATATTCTGTGCAACAAAGGATAGAATATTTATATACAATTTAGATGGAATGCGCATTCAAGACAAGCTAGATGTGAATGATCATCTTGGCCGTATTGTACTCAGTCCAAACGCAACATTTAATCCATATCTTGTGTATTCGCAGTCATTGAAAGAAGGCACTCTGGAGGTTTATGATACTTCCACTTAGAGGAAAGTAGCCACTATCAAATGTCATAGAACCCCGATTCTCAAAATAGGAATGGGACCATTTGGAAACACAGTGGCTACATGCAGCACTCAAGGTACAATGATAAGAGTATTTAGCATACCAAACGGAGACAAGTTATACACATTCACTAGAGGAATAAAAAATACCACCCAGTACTATTTGAATTTCAGCAATGATAATTGCTTCCTGCTGAGTTCTTCTGACTCTGGGACAATACATGTGTTTTAAATGGAAGATCCCAAAAGAATGTCGACAACCTAGAATAAAGTGGATAAAAAGTCTATAATAGATGAAACTAGGTAGCCTTTATAAAGACCAAGCAGCTGGTTTACATTTTTAGTGCCTAAAGCGTGTGATGACTTTGTCCATGCTGAAAAGTCTGCATTGTCTCTCAATCATGCTCCTCTCATTCAAAGAAGTAATATAGTAGCTACTAATTACCTCAACAACTTTATATACGCATTCACATAGGAGGGAGAGTTCTTTGAATTTGAGATGGATTTAGAAAAGAAAGTAATAAAGTTTTCGCAGAAAAAACACATAGATGAATTTTAGAATTGAATTGTAGAGTAAATACAACTTAGAAATACAAAGCATATAACCCATCAATCTCCTATTATATAATCTACTCTAAACTGTTTTAACTAAATATATTTAGATGTTCAGACATAATAATCTAATGTAGCATTAAGGGGTTTTGGGGTTTTGGGGTTTTGGGGTTTTGGGG